ATATATATATATATATATATATATATATATATATATATATATATATATATATATATATATATATAGTTATAGTTATAGTTATTCAGTACAAGTGATTTTTTAATGAATTATTTACTCATTAATTATTATGGTTAACTTTTCAACAATTTTTGAACTTTTGCATTTTGGCTTCAAAATGTAACGGGGTTCAAGTATTATCCTATATCTCATGGACATCTCTTCAAATATCAAATTTCCTTTATATATCTTTGCATTCCCCAGCACCCGTATGGAAATTAGAGCTTCTTATATTGTCAAACACTTAATATGGATCGTGATTAGAGAAGCATTTGATCCATCATTATCTTCAAAACTATGGATGAATAAGTTATGGGCACTACGAGTTAGTTTCTAATAAATTATTATTCATTATTTCTGACATTATCTTTCAAATATTTTTTATCTTTTACATTTCAGTTTCACATGTTTTCTGTTTGAAGTCAGATATCTTATGAAATATGAAGGCAAAACAAGTTCCTAAACATAGCATTTTATTTTTCTCAATTTTGCTTAGTATTTTTATAACGTTTTAATATTTTTTATAACTTATATTTTTATTTAAATGATTTGTCAACCAATTCTGATCCTCGCTATCCGACCCAACAAATCCTTTGATCCAAAACATATCATCCATAGCCGGTTTGGATTCCGTTGTTGATTTGAGAACTATGTCTAAGTTTTCTTGTAGTACAAGAGACCAATCATAGTGTCCTCATCTGCAGCGTCTAGAGCTTTGTGATTGTCTAAGCAACTTCTTATATACTAAAGCAATCTAAGAATTTCTAGAAATGTAAAACTTATAAACAATAAAAAAAAAGTCAAAGAAATAATATGCATCACATTCCATCCACTAAATCAAGCTTAAATTTATTCGATGTAGTTAAAAAAGAAAAAGAAAGTGAACGAGGAGTATCCTCTGTTCTTTAGTAGGGTTTTGAAAGTGGGTTATTTTTCGCTTGGTCCAGAGCTGATGCATCCTTTCCTTTCTTGTTCACCCTCTGTTCACTTCGCCTTATAGTTGAAGTTGGCTCGTATGAAATGAATTGATTCATAGGTTACTAACGAAAAATTGCTTCAATTTTAAGATTAAACAACTGGATTAGACAAACAATATAGGAGATGTCCACTTGCCTACATGCCCACCTTGGTAATGATTGCTAAGAGAAATCTTCGGGAACCTAGCAGAGACATTTATGTGGCTGCCCCCTCTTAAGGTGGTGATCTAATTGTTCTAGGTGCCATTTTTATCAAACATCCATACTTGTTGCCTCCTCACAATTATAGATTTTCTATTGTGGAGTCCAAAATCTTATGAAAGTCCACTAAACCAGTATGATATACTTTGCTATTTCCTATTATATGCCAGCTTCAACATCCTTTTACTATCCAGGTTCTTTGCCTTTGCATTTCATTTTCAATATATTTTCTTGTTGCATCATACAACTACTGCTTAATAGCTGAAAGTGTCAGCTAATTTAACCGGTAAAAGACTTTAATAGTATATTGCAAGGTCCCAGGCTCGAATCCCGCCTTTGCCACTTACCCTTCGCAAAAAAAAAAAAAACAAACAAAAAAATAGGGAGGAAAAACAGCTTGATAGCTAGTAGTGGAATTGGATTAACTCGTGGCACCACAAACATGAGGGCAAGAAAATCAACGAGCAATAGAAAATAACAAAGGAAAGAACTACAGGAAGAGACTGCAAGAAATTTACTTAAGTTACTTGATCAGAATCCCAATGACTCTCATGAACAAACTAAACCTGTATAGGAAGAGGATCAACTTGCCTCTATCCGATCTCTGCAAACCTGCCTTACAAGAACACTTTTATCTATTGGTAAACAAGTAATCAATTTGCGACAAATCCCAACAGTCCTTTGGTGCTCAGGATCACAAAGTTTAGTAGAATTTAGTACACCTCTTCAATCCTCACAGGAGTTTTTTTTTTTTTGGGCAACACCTCGATATCATTTTTTTCTACTATAAACATTCAGACTCTCAGTCATCCTATCAACAACATAAACAATCTCCATGGTGCTTTGTCCTTTTGCCTCCACCTTACTTTAATAACCCAAAGTTGGGTCAATAACAAATAAAGTCCCTAATTTGTGTAGTGAGGAGTAGTTCTGCCAAAGTCCTATTTGTATTTTCTTTTGATCCTCATTTGTTTTGTGTTGGGTCCGGCATAAACTATTAATTCCCATGTCCTAATGAAAGAAATATGGACAAAATAGCAACTATCGTTTAACACCTAATGTCAGTAATTTATAGTCAGCATGACCCACCTCTTCAATCCTCACAGGAGTTTTTTTTTTTGGGCGACACCTCGATATCATTTTTTTCTACTATAAACATTCATAAAGAAACACTTCATGGCTACCAGCAGACTTTCGGTCATCCTATCAATAACATAAACTATCTCCTTGGTGCTTTTTCCTTTTGCCTCCACCTTACTTTAATAACCCAAAGTTGGATCGATAACAAATAAAGTCCCTAATTTGTGTAGCAAGGAGTAGTTCTACCAAAGTCCAATTTGTATTTTGTTTTGATCCTCATTTGTTTTGTGTTGGCTCCGGCACAAACTATTAATTCCCATGTCCTAATGAAAGAAATATGGACAATGAGCGACTATCATTTAACACCTAACATCAGTAATTTATAGTCAGCATGAACCTTATCAGCACAACTAAAAGACATATTTCTTAACCCATCTGCCAGTAGAAATTAACTTGATATGGTATACATTTTTCAAGGAACTGGCTTAGCAAGGAAACAATCTGCAACTAGATTACAAGAAAACAACCAAAAGAAAACTTGCTATTAACCAAAGGCTATACGCAGGACTTGCATATGATAACAAGGCTACTTTATGCACATAGGGAGTAAGTTTAGGATTTCTACAGTGACCCACATGTTAGGATTATTAGGATATAGATACCAAACTCAATCTACTTTTCTATTTTTCTGTGACTTAAAAGTGATCTTTGTAATTTTGGTTTCATATTTTCAGTATGATTTCAGAGTCCAGAAAAGCAAGATAATGGCTTGTCAAAGCTTAATGCATTTTTTTATGTATGGCAACCCTTGACTTTTATCAAAAGAACCTTAAAGGAACTAAAAATTAACTTGAGAATGAGACGAAAGATGGTTATTGAACTGTTTAGAAGCCTCATAAAAAAGAAGAATTAGTTAAACTATGAGCATGAAGCTGGAACACAAGCAAGACCATGCGGGATGGCAACATGAAAGGAATAGCTTTTTAATATAAGAAATAAAAAACTTATAAAGCCCAGTCTCACCTTGCATAGAAATCATTAATAAGTTCTCTGACTTCAGGCACCAACTCTAAAAAATTTCTGAAGTTAATGTTGTCAATGACTTTGTTCTGGCAAAGGAAGGAAATAAAGTACTTTGTTAATACTCAATGGATTGCATGTAGGAAGCAAAAATAATTATCATAAAAACTAAAAAGAATCTAGACACCTTCAGCTCTGTTCGATCAAAAGAAGCAAGTGCACAAAGTCCACCGTATATAGCAACATCTTGTGGTGCTATCATGTCTGTATAGTTATTGCCTAGTTCAGGCCCTGTTTCCAAAAACTGAATAATTCACCAAAACCATCAATCAGAAAGTAAAAGAACAAAAAAGTGGGCCGAACAAGCAACAAATGATCCTATGAGTTGGTACTAATGTACAATGAACAGTATGCATGGATAAGCCAAAAACACAATGTTAGCTTTTTGAAGGGTTGCCATAATTATTGAATAAAGATTTAAATACTCTTTGACTTAGATAACTAAGGATATCCTTTTCATATCTTAAAATGAAAAAAAGATTTATTTAGCTGACCACCAATAGTTGGGACTTTGTCATTATTGTTGTATCAACACCATTCATTTCAGGATCCATTCATTTCAAGATGCTGAAGAGAGTTGACATATGCGTTGGCAAAACAACCCTCTAGTATATTTTAGAATTTGTGACAGGATAATTAAATTTAATCATTACACCGGGAGAGAATAACATAATTTGTTCCCACAAAAACTAGACCAAAAGATCATCCCAATCTTTGAATATTGTTTTAAGCATACAAGAAAAGAAATCATCATACCAATCGTATGAAATATGAGCCAATAGAAATATGCACAGATAAAAATATTACTTTGTGGAATGAGTATTATTATTAATGATCTCTTGAACATTTTTCAGTTTTTTTAATTTGATTTAGTCAACAACAACAACAACAACAACAAAACCGTAAGTCCCAACTATTTCGAGTCGGCTATATGGATCTTTTGCCGCCACTGAGATCTGTAAAATTGGCCACTTTCGAGCATCCTCCTAACCCATCATTTGTAATTTGGGACACCTAGGTGGTGAAGGTGCCTCACTTCACCTCTGGGTGACGACCTAGCTCTATACTGAAGTCGGTTAAAATTCATGTTAATGGGATCTGACATAGTTTTACGTTGATTGTCAATGACCTAACGCAACCCTTCACCTTTTTCATCCGGGCTTCAGACCAGTATTAGCGGTGTTAAATTTGATATAGTCAACCAAACAAAATGTTCATCTGAAAATCAAGTTCAAAAATAGCTTATAACTATTATAATATATACTTTATATCACATTTGCATCTGCATTTTGTCGACAGTAAAGGTAGAAATAAGGATCATAAATATATTAACACAATAATCCTTTAAAATCTTGTATTATATGACATTCACATCTGCATTTTGCAGACAGTAAATGTAGAAATAAGGATCATAAATATATCAACACAATAATCCTTTGAAATCCCAAGAATCAGTAAAATTTCCAATGACAGTACCAGAAAAGTCATCTGACATGCTGCCACAGTTCCATAAAACCATAATTGAAAAAAAAATATATATATGTGACACTAATAATAACACATAAAATATGTAATATTGCAATAAACTAACCTTCCGAGCTGCAAGCTTATATTTTTTTGTTTCCAAGTAAGCCAACCCTGCAGCACATCGCAATTTTGAATGGGTTACAAGGTCCAGTTGTTCTGGTGTTTGCTCTGCTTTACTGGCATAATTGGAGACATGCATGAATTGGCCCAATTCAATGCTGACAAGAATAACACTCAAACACATGTGGATTAAGTGTTTTGAGGTAGTGCAATAGTCCCGAGTACGAACATAATTCTTCAAGGCATCACCAAGTTGACCATGATCATAGAAAAAATCTGCTAAATCATTGTACCCCATTCTGATGCTTTCTTTGATCAAATTAGTCTGCCCATGAAAGCCCATGAAGATACTTAACAATCAGGGAAGAAACAAAGGCAAAAGATTATGAAGTGGTACATAAGCTTATAAGAGGCACAACCTTCATCGAAAAAAAATCTAACAATGCTTTCATACATAAAGATTCTTACTTTCCCACACCACAAGGAAATGAATAATAATATTATTATTATTTATTATTATTATTATTATTATTATTATTATTATAAAGAACTGCCCTAGTATGCATATGCATTAAGGGGAGAAAAACAAGTAGTAAACCTTTCCAAGAAACCTGTTGAATAAGTATCAACATTAGCAAAGGACAGTTTGAAGAAGGCAAATTTACCATGATCAAGTTACCAAACTAAAAAGCTGACAGAGGGTTTGAGAATCACTGAACATACTTGGACATAGGATACCAATTTTCAGTTAGATAAATATAGTGACAGCACTGCACTATAATGTTAGACGTGGAAAGAGGAAATGCATCAATCAGATATGATATGAGTAAAGGTTCTAATAAAAGAAATTAAAGCCAAAGCTCTCTAAGTACCCTCAGCTGAATCTATGATCATCGCAAGTCTCAATTTTTACTAGTACTACGAAGGATTCAGGATGTGTGCTGAGAACTTTTGAGGCCAGAAAGATTTTTATATCAAAAGAAGAACCAAACAGATCGACACATAATAATAATAATAATAATAATAATGAATAATGAATAATAATAATTCGCTCAAAAGATTTTATGACGTGTTTCCGACTGCCATCGTATTGCTTAAACCAAATATATGATGGTCAATCCCTAAGAACCTCCTAGATTAATGAACCCTAAAAGCCCAATTACAAGGGTTGTGAGGAGTACGGAGGAGTCACAAGCAAAGCAATGGATCGGGAGTTGTAATCAACACCAAAGGCAACAAGAATAGGAAGAGGCGGACGGCACCTTGTAGCCATTGAGTTCGTTCTCGAGCTTCTCCTTCCGGACGTCGGCGCGGCGATCGACGGTGTCCGCCCAGGACTGATCGAGGGCATAGCGCGGGCCGAGCCTGCCGCCGATCTTGGCCGTTACCTCACGGTGGAGGTGGGAGTCCTCCGCTTTCTTGATCTCGTCGTGGGCCATGCGGAGGGCCTCCAGCTGCATGGCCTCGTTGCCACACCGCTCCGCGATGAAGAGCAGCCGGGCCACCTTGGTCCGGCCGGTGTATAGCGCGGCATAGGCCTCCACGTCCATCAGCTCGCCGCCCGCGGCCCCCTTGCCCGCCCTGGAAGTCGGCGGCCGGCGTGGTTCGTCCACGGCGCCGCCGTTGGAGCACATCGCCTCGTGGCCCATCGGTGCCCCGACGACGACGCCCTCGTCCATCGTCTCTTCCCTCGTTTTCACCCTTCTCCTCGAATTCCAGGACAGGATTGCTTCACGAAACCCTAGCAGAATCGCCGGGTGCTGCGATCGAAGCTTTTGCTCCCTCGAGCGGTCAAGCTTATTCGACCGTCGGATACGGTATCCATAGCGCAACCATTGCATCAATAGTCGTGAGATACAGATGATTGAAGTCGTTTTGGTTCAATTTCCTAGAAAAATTAACTCGGAAAATAATCAATAGAAATCATTTGCAATGATATGAATCGGTGAGCCGAATGCGCTGCCGCTTTATACTTCAGACGCAATGTAGGCGGCGATGCTTTGTATATCGATGGCGATATGCAATCATCTTTGCACTGTTCTTTCGTATTTGAGTCTCTCTACTAGTAAGTAGATGGAATAACAAAGATATGCATTTAGAATCATAGAACAAACATATAGATTTATGTGGCAGTCTTCTTGGTTGCTTGAAACTCATCCGAGTTCTTGAATTCCATCTGATATTTTGGATCCCTTGGTTGGTCCAGAGAGCATGAACTTTATAATCTCATTATTCTATAACGAAAGTTTAATATGGTGTTTTCATGAAGTATTTTTCAATATAAATTTTATTTTATGATTTAACTTAATATTCTATCACTAATCTAATTGACTTATATTATTGAATGATTTATAATGTATTTGGTATCAAATTACATCTTGTTTGATTCACATGAAAAAAAAAAATTATGATGTTTGTTATTTTGGTACTTTCATGACTTTATATATAATCTTTTTCCAATAAAGATATGCACTAGAAACTCTCATAATTCTAAAAATCATGGCAACTCAAGAGGACGATCCAAATCCACATCAAGAATGAAATGTTATCATTGTGGTAAATTAGAGCACTAAAAAGAAAATGTAGAATATTAAAAATGAAACAATCAAAAGAACACAATAAAGAAAAAAAAAAAGTTGTATTTGATGGTGATGCTATTATCATATATTATGATAGTGTAGTTAGTCTCACATGTTATAATTCTACTTGGTTTGCAAAAGTCATGGGCATGAAACATGCAAAATAGTGTTAAATAATATGAGATATATTCCTGAAATTTATATTTTATAGATTATATTTTAAAAAAAAAATTTATATATTCTCTTACTATTTGTAGATGACATGTTAATTATTACCCTTTGGTTCCACATTAATTGAGTGTGTGAACAAAAGATTCATAAGTCCGTTATGTCTCCCTTATTCTTAGAGACGTCTTTTAGAGTTAACATGTTTCGAAAGGATAAAACCATACGGATATGCTTATCGTCTAAAGTAGATAATTCCTCACGACCGATTGCACCAACGATCGACTGAACGAAAGACTTTGGGTAGAAAGGTTTTTCATGATAAGATGAATATTAGATTTTAGTTATCGAGAGATATATTCAAAAAATAATTCTTAACACGAGGAAGTCAAAAGGATCATAGAAGCGCATATTCGAAAACCTAATCGGAACCAATCGACCGATTAAGGGAAGAAAGAACATGAACCTGGAGCATATCGAAAGCCCTGTTCTTCAGCAAAACAGAGCTTCTCCCCGCAGACAAGCACGGAGCTTCGATGCAAGACCTCCAACGCGTCGACAAAGGGGATGCCTGGCGAGGACGGGGCCGAGCTCTCTCGATGGTGCTCATGTTCCCGCAGACAAGCACAGAGCTGTCGTTTCAGGACCTCCAACGCGTCGACAAAGGGGATGCCCGGAGAGGACGGGGCCGAGCTCTCTCCGGACCCGTTGAAACATCTGGAGCGCCATCGATGCTACTGTGACGGTCGGGATCAACGTAGAAAAGAAACGCGAGAAGTGTAAGGATCGATGTACAGTAGAGTAAAGGAGATGAGAACCTTCTTCCTGTAGAAGCCTTCGAAGCTAGAGAGAGAGGAGTTATGTGGATTAACGAACTCATGTACCCTTAGCCGAACACATCTTTACCAACCTCGATTAGGCTGAGCTGGACCATCTCACAATAGAGAGACTAAATGACCTCATGCAAAGCATATATCATGCACATTTGTCGTGGTCATTGTCATTGTTATGTGAATGCGGCCTTCCTTTTGCAACCTCCAACATATAATTGGGCGGACCCAATTCTAATTCGATTCCACATTTAAGCATCCGTTTGATTTCAATCAGAACCTCCTACGGATTGAGCTCGTGGAAGGTGGATGAGCAACCCGATCCAAGTTAGATACTCGGATATATGTACGTTGCATACGCCCCCAAAACAAAAAAATCTTTCCATATTGGCATCAGTAAACTATTCATGTAACGTCCTCCAACAAAATGCTTTAAATATATTTCAAACTAACTGTACGAGGAAATCTCGTTGCTCGGTTAAGAAAAATCATCTCTTTCAATATGTATAAATAGATATCGTATCAAATTAATTGAAATATATTTTTTTTTGCCTTTATGGCTTCGTTCTTCGTTCTTTCAATTATCTTCCCCACAAATACAGTATATTTCTCCACTATGCCGCTGATTTAGTAAAACAGATCCTATCGATGCCGCTGCAGCATCGTCGAAGCGTAGTTCTCTGAGACGGACAGATTTGACCCAACTCGAAGTTTCTACTGACTCGAACGACCAAGAGCGATCGCCGTCACCTTCTATGTTTACCTCTTCGGACCGTCGTTCGGTGTACAAGACTGCGTTAAGACCGACGCAAGTGAAGTCGGCACGCGTTGCGATCGAGAAGTCGGTCGTTGATGCGGCAGAATGATTTCTCGCAGACCTTGAACAAAAGCTTGACGACAAAAATGGGGTCTGGGCGCTGTTGCCGTCGGAAGGAAATGGTCTTCATAATGCAGCACAACTTGATCCCGGTGCAGCCCATTTGGATTGGCTAGTCAAAGTTTAACTGTTCCATCAACACAGCAAGAGCAGAAAAATCTGCCGATGAAGAACAACTATAATGATACGCATAAACCGTACGAGATGTTTGCGAGGAAGAGCTAATACTTCGAATCCGCCTCAAGAAGAACACCGAAACGTGGAAGTCGAGCAAACCTCGGTGAGGGTGTAACGTGCTGGGGTTTATTACAGCAAGAGAAGAAAAGTCTCTCCAAAAGTCAGCGGATAGAATAGTTGCTCCCAACAAGTCAAATATTAGGATAGAGAGATCGCCTGTTAAAGCAAAGGAAGCGAAGCAGCGTGCGCACACCATTACGGGGAAAAGGGTTTTAAAAGGAAGTCAAAGGGAATACCCTTCGCCTATATAAACTCCCACTGCTCACCCTCCTCTGTTCATTCTATGATTCGAATTAGTGAGTTGGCTGTGCGTGCGGCCTCCCGTCTCACGACAAACATTTGACATAGAGCCTGACAAAGCCTTCCTACTCCCGCTTATTTTTAACCGGATATCCTCTCTTCTTCTTCTTCCTTCTTCTTGTTCTTGTTCTTTGTAACAAGAAGAACACCATGTGCAAGGCTGAGCCATGCCAATGCGACCACCACCACGATCCCCAGGGGCTCCTCACCGCCCCCTTCGTCGTGGCTGAGAAGCAGCCGGCCAAGAGACAATCGGAGGTGGCGCCGGCAGTACCCGTCGGGACGCGGAAGCCTCTCCGTTCGGCGTCCTTGGCGTTTGTAGAGTTATCTTCCACCCTGAGCCTCGCGCTGCCCATGGCCTTAACCGGTCTTCTTCTCTATTGTCGTTCCATGGTTTCCATGCTCTTCCTCGGCCGGCTCGGCGACCTCGCCCTCGCCGGTGGCTCCCTCGCCATCGGTTTCGCCAACATCACTGGCTACTCGGTCCTCTCTGGTCTGGCCATGGGCATGGAGCCCATCTGCGGCCAGGCCGTCGGTGCGCGCCGACACCACCTCGTCGGTCTCGCCCTCCACCGAACCGTTCTCCTTCTCCTCGCTGCCTCCGTCCCCATCGCCCTCCTATGGTACTACATCCGCCCTCTGCTCCTCTTAGCCGGTCAACAACCGGCTCTTGCCGCCGCTGCAAGCTCTTACCTCCACGCCTGCCTTCCCGATCTCATCTTCCTGTCGTTTCTTCACCCTCTCCGCATTTACCTCAGGACCCAATCTATCACGCTCCCGTTGACTCTGTGTGCTGGGCTAGCCGTCGTCTTCCACCTTCCCATCAACTACCTCTTGGTCTCAGTTCTCCACCTTGGCGTCCGCGGCGTGGCCTTGGCCTCTGTTTGGTTTAACTTCAACGTCGTACTATTCCTTATCGTTTACATCTGCTTCTCCGGCATCCACCGCAGCACCGGTGGACTAAGCTTCAGTTCCGAGTGCTTCAAAGAATGGAGGTCGCTTCTGCATCTCGCCGTCCCGAGCTGCATCTCGGTGTGCTTGGAGTGGTGGTGGTACGAGATCATGATCATTCTATGTGGCCTTCTCATAAACCCGGAGGCCACTGTTGCTTCCATGGGCATCCTGATCCAGACCACCTCGCTCATCTACATCTTCCCATCGTCGCTGAGCTTTGGCGTATCGACTCGCGTCAGCAACGAGCTCGGCGCGAATAGCCCTGACCGTGCCCAACGAGCTGCCACCGTCGGACTGTCGTGTAGCTTCGTGCTCGGCCTCCTCGCCTTCGGGTTCGCTTTCTCCGTGCGCCACATGTGGGCGAGGATGTTCACCGGCGACCCAGCCATCTTCGAGCTCACCGCGTCGGTGTTACCGATCCTCGGCATGTGCGAGTTCGGAAACTGCCCGCAGACCACCGGGTGCGGGGTGCTGAGAGGAACCGCCCGGCCGAAGCTCGGCGCCGACATAAACTTGGGCTCATTCTACGTCGTGGGCATGCCGGTGGCCGTCGGACTCGCTTTCTGGACGCTACTGGACTTCAAGGGCCTCTGGCTCGGGCTGCTTTCGGCGCAGGCGACCTGCGTCGTGCTAATGCTGGTCGTCATCCAGAGGACCGATTGGGACTCCCAGGCCAAGCGGGCGCAGCAGCTCACCGGAGCAGCCATCGACGAGGCTGACAAAGAAGCATTGCCAAAGACCATCAATGCAACAGAAGGAGACGAGGCCGATACTTTGGTTGTCTGTGTAAAGATTGAGCAATGAGTTCCGACAAACTTGAAAAATCATCGCTTTCCTTTGCTCTTTTTATTATTTCTCCGTTTGGTCTTTTTCTTTTTGTAATTAACAAAAAATAAAAAGGAAAGAAATCACGCATGAATTGTGTTATGACTTTGCGATTCTACAATCTCTCGTTCGTTTTCTGATGTCCACAAGTATTCCAGGAGAGCCGGCAGCGTCGACGACTCGGTCCACCGGCCTTCGTGGTTTGACTCATTGACCCGGTCGACCAATGGCTGGAATCTTCCTGGAAGTTGTGGGTCCCAACGATCTGAACGGTTCATGGAACTTTCTGCTGTTTCATCTGATCCGGCTTCGAGTCGTTGTCGTGATTGATTTGACATTGAGTTGGGTGCAGACCCCGTCAACCATCTCTACCATATGACGTCGTAACCCACGAGGATATAAGACGATGGGCACAGTGGCTCTTGTTAGTGTAAACAACGGGGCCGTGGCCTCGGGGCCAATGCGGTTCGGTTTGGATCCGAACGATAGGGATCTCTCCGGGACGTTCCTCGAGCCCGCAGGGTCGGTCTGGTGCAATGGCCCGATCGGGACGGGGTCACCGTTTCCTCCGGGGAGGAACTCCTCGTCCGCGCGTCCGACGGGGATCCTCGACTTCACACATGCACAAAAGGTCGGGTCGGGGTGCTCAGCCCGACCCCTCCGACGATCAAGTTAGTTGATAGTGGAGAGGGTTTCATAAGAAGAAGTGTTTTTTTCTGTCCTCCCTTTCCGTTTAGGATGCAAGGGTATTTATAGGGGAGTTTGGTGTTACCTGACGTGCCTGCTCGCAGGGGGCAGGATCGTACATTCTGATGACGTCTGACATCACTGTTGGCGTGTCGTGAGGAATCGAGTCTGAGCGGTCGTTAATGGACCTCGGTCGGCGTTATAGCCCGTGTCAGCCACGTGCTGTTAGCCTGGCAGAGACGCAAAGCGTCAGCGGGTGTCAGGCAAGCCTTATCGTAATTATCACACTCATCAACTCTCTGTCTTTCATTGCCTCCTCCTCGTTGATGGGTGGCTTCCATTAAGCTAATTAGTACTTGCCATGCAACAACGTTGACATCCATTCCTGATTTGTTTAAGACCAACCGTACGAATAGGATCGAACTCGTCTTGCAGTAGCAGTAACCTACACACCCTCGCAATGAAGATGGCATTCCAGACCTCCAAAGGGCAGGAGTTAGTGCGACAGCAGCCATCATGAAGCATCCAGTCAACCCGACTTAAATATAACGAAGACAAGTCAATCGTCTTGCCAATCGGATGCAAAGTCAACTCCTTCGAAACGAATTCTAAACCTTATTCCGTCGAGGAATCTCGAACGCGAAGTCACATCCATCGCTGAAGCGATTCGCGGCGTCTCCTTTTCGTAGTCACCAAATCTAATGTGCTCTTCCGGGACGTCATGATTCACACTTGCAACGAATACGCGGGCGAGCTCGTCGTAACGTAACAGACGACACCCCATCCGAATCAACCATGGAGAAGATGGATCGATGTCGACGAAGAAATGCGTCGATATAGATCCGACGGCGGGCGTTGACGTTCTCATGTCAAAGCCGATGCAGCGTGGTCAAAGGATCACTGCAATCCTTGTAACAAGCAGAAGTAGAAAGAAAGCATGTTGTTGCAGCGGCGACAGGCAAACTTCCCTGATATCCTCCGCTTGGCTCTCATTTCGGCAGCAGTCAACGCCCGGATTGCGCCGTAATCCCGTCGCCAAAGCCTCGTCGAAAGCAATCCATCTGCTTCCTATCAGGAAGAGCTTTGCTGCTAAAGAAATCTGGCTGTCATGCGTAGCTCCAACGAGCATTTAATTAAGAGCTTACCTGATCCTGATTGAATCAAATACGCAAGCAGTACATCGTCAACGGCAGCATGTACATGAATGAGAAGACGATAAAATGCACGAGGGAAGGTTAATCCAACTCCTCTGTCTCGATTGGAGTGGAATTCTAATCAAGACAAAGAGGGACTGGTCCACGGTGTTCTTAAGGGAGCATGAGCTGGACACTGAATTGGTGCCGCTGACATGCTTAGATTCCACACAGCTGAAGGGCGTTGACATTCATTTTTCAGAGCAATTTAAGAGCTGACTACCTGTCAGGCGTTTCAAAGCGTTCATTTCTTTCAACCTAATCATTCCATTGTCAACGAGAAGGAATAGAGACGATGAATCCAGCCTTGGAAAGTCAATGCTAGGATAAGAATGCTAGCAATTCGACGGAAGATATGCTTTCAGAATATTCTGCGTGGTGTAAGAAACACCCGTGCATACATACGAAACCAGATAAAATACTAAGCAAGAACAAGTTCAGCAGTCGTGTCAGTACAAGTAAAGAAGAAATCTTTTCATTTTACTTATATGTAGTTTGTAATCCTTGACAGGCAAAGGCTTAAAGAATAGCTGCCCCATGAACCAGCCTTCACAGCTCGACGACAAAAAACCTCCTGATGTACAAGTTAGCTCCTCGTTTTATTGGACCTTTCGAAGTTCTATGAAGGATTGATCCGATCACCTATGAAGACGTTCTAACATGTTTCATGTGTCATTGCTCTATAAGTACATTATAGACTCCTCACACATCTTATCGTATCAACCACTTTAATTGCGAGAGGATGCTACTTAAGTGGAATAATCAATATAAATTTTGGAACGAAATATGTATAATTTAAGGAGGAAGAACGAGGAAGTCAAGTCAGAAATATCCTCATTTGTTTGTAAATTAAAATTAGTTTTTAAAATTCGAGGACCAAATTGCTAAAGAGAGGATGATGTTATAAAAGTGACCTCTTTATTTAATTAAAGGGGCATAACAATCAATTGTACTAAGATTGTATTATCGACAATTGATTTATTTGTAGAGGCGGTGATGATTACATTAGAATATGGTGAAATTGACATCACGTATGTGGTGAAGGAGACAGAGATCAAGAAGTCTTTGGGAGGGTTTCACTAGAAGACAAAAGGACATCGACGAAAGGATCAAGATAGGCATTGTATTCTTTCCTATAGTTAATTTTATTATCATATCTCATATATTGATTTCACATATTACATCTGAATGTTGGTAAGCTCATTTAGTCCTATATTTAGTCTCATATTGACATCACGTATGGGAACTAAGGGTTTATAAGTCTGTCGGGTCTTTCCTAATCTCAGGCTCCTAAAAGGTAAAACCGTGTGGGTTCGATCCTCATTGCCCAAAACGGATAATTCCTCGCACGCCCTACGGGCTACACCAGGGTCATGAGTCCTTGGCTCCCCTGCGAGGGAGGATCACTGATAAGATCATTTAGTCCCACATCAACGCTGCCTTGTAAGATAATAAGCTACTGTATAACCTAGATAATCTACCACATCAGCATCGACCTCGCCACATCATCGTCGAGTTGTGTCAGGTCAATGGTGACCATTCACACCACAGACAACGCTATAATGTACACAAAATCTGCATTGCCACATCAGCGTTGGCCCCTGGCAGATCAGCATTGACCACTGCCACATCAATGCTAATTAGAGCCGCGCCAGCATTGTGTTGTGCTGTGAATGTCGACACAACAGGTTGCATTGTGGCCAACTATAGAATTTGCCACGTTAGCATTGACCCAACCACATCAGCATAACTGCTGACATAGTAAGTTGCATGGCAATCTGCACAGAATTCGAGTGGATCACACTTGACTGATCTCAGCCAAATCAGTGCAATTTTGCTGGATTAACTTGAACCTAGTTGACTCAAACTTGACTTGAACCCGACCTCATCCTAATTGAACCCAAGGCATACACCCTAATCAAACCCATCCCTTAAATGCAATCAAAGTTGACCGTATCTTGAGTAAGTCAAAGTTATGAACCTAACCCAAATTTGAGGGGCCAATTCTGTATAAGCGGTAACAAAATTAGAATATAGATCATTAATAAATATACAAAAACTTTAATATTAGGTTATTTTAAATTGTATAGTGTCAGTGAATAAATGTGTCGTGGCTGATGAGTCAGCACGGCTTAGTCCACGGGTTGATGTCGAGAGCCTCCTGCCGGTTGAGCTGATTGTCGGAGCCGACTAAATCCTTGAGTCGAGGGGTGGGTTGGTCGATGACTCACCACGAGGGCGCCGATCTGCGACTCCCGAGGTTGGGCTGTCTTCCTACAAAAATGGCCTTCGTCGGGTGATCCCCGACTTTGGCCCCTTCGACGAACAAGTTAGTAGTCTCTCCTTTTTCTTTTTCTCTCCCCTTTTGGGTCTAGGGGTCTTTATACGATGACTAATCTAACTAATGCTTCATGATTTTTTTAATTAAAAGAAAGAAATTAGGGCATCCAAAAATTTACGTTTAACTTCTCTCTGTACTATCTTACGTTAGATATTTCTTCTCAATATGCTTTTAGAGTATTCCATATCTTCCTCCTTGAACTTAAAAAATTAGAAATAATAATTGCTTAAGACATGGAAGGAGTCGTTGGGATTTCAAATATTCTTGAAGTATATCGTGAAAATATTTGTGATATTTAACTCGATATCGATGTATTGATTTTTTTAAGTTGTCACGATCAAATTTTCAAAAGGCGTGTGATGTCTATTTATCATCTGATTAAAAAAAATAAATAAAAAGAGTTTAAGAGAGAGCTTAAAAGGATTTTAAATGGAGCTTAAGAGCAAACTTCAACGATTACTTAATTAAAAGCATAGAAAAAGAGAGAGATATTTGAGCGGTATTTATAAGATTTTAGATTTTTTTTCTGAAGCATCCTAAAACTAAATTTATTTTTTAAAATCCTTTCATATATTTTTAATTATAAAATAACCAAAATATTTTTATTTTTATTTTATAATCATTTATCTGACTGTTAGGATGGGTAAACTTGTTGTTGGCCTCTCCGGCTGCGCTGCGGACGACAGACGACGACGGCGTTGGTGGACGGCGAGCTGCTGCGCCGCGAGGTGAGGGCGGAGGGGCAACCGCGGCCGGAGAAGCCCATGCTCGTCTACGCCGCCGTGTGGGACGCGAGTTACATCGACGCGGGGAGGTGGACGGGGGGGCCTACGTCGGGTGCCCCCGTCCATCTTTGAGATACAGGACGTGAGGGTGCCAATCGAGCGCGTCGTGGCGGAGGAGGAGGAAGAAGAAGACGAATAATGATGGCATCTTTGAGTTACTATCGCCTACTGCATCAAGAAAAGATCAGATCTGTGAAGTGGAGTTGCGAGCGAATAATTCGTCTTCTTCCATCTGCTTCTTAAGGTCAGTTGAGAATGTGATCATTGTTGTCATCTTGATGTCACCCTTTGCTATTGTTCTGTTCCCTGCTATGTGTAGCAAGCAAAAGATCGGTGTGAGGGAATCAGCAAGGAGTACAAGTCGTTCGATGAAATGCCTCTTCGATGTGGTTCCATGTGTGGTCATACCATGGCAATGGCAATCGCGTACTCAGCCAATTCCATCGTCTCCCCAAAACGTGCCATCGACCACTGCATCGTCTCTCTAAAACTGGCGAAACATGATTGTGGCATCCCAATGTGGCAAGGCAGGTTTGACGATTCGCGGGAGGGCAAAATGGCCCTATCCGAACCTTTTTCGAGGGATCGATCTCCTCGCCTTTTCTGTTCAGGCACAGATCCTCCCATGTATCACAAGTCCACTCCTGTGTGTGGCCCACGCCAACAGCGACCCCTCTGGGGCGACACTCGTACCATGGGCCCCATTCAATGTCGCCAGATCTACAGTGGCGTCAATCACGACGCACTACCAACGGTCCTCGTGTTCTGGGCCCACCGGTGGGTGCTATCGACCGCAGGCATGGGTGAGGGGGAATGACACGGTACGAGGCAACGCCCCCACGTTCTCTCCCGTCTCTGTCGTCGCTGTTTTCCTTCTTCGGCATCCCCGAAGCTAACCCTCGAGCCCGAGATGCGTGCTTTTGATCGCACCCCAAGCGTGTCTTCGCCGTGGTGGTGGCGGCTGCAGTGGTGGAGAAAGGACTGTGAGCAGAGCGGAGGTAGAGGGTCTCGGCTACACCGGTAGAGAGGTGGCGGGAGTGGAGGAGGAGGAAACGATGTTGGGGTCGGGGTTGAACCTGGTGACCACGGTGATCGGGTTCGGGATGAGTGCCACCTTCATCGTGTTCGTGTGTACCCGCCTCCTCTGCCGCTGCATCCGCTCCACCGACTCCCGCGCCACCCCGTTGGACCTCGAGCTCCGCTCCGAGGTTTACCAGGTGAGGCGCTCCTCGCCGGAGTAAAAGGCTCTTCTCCAACATTGAAATGGCGGGTGAAAAGATCTCATATTTGGTAGTGCTAGCAGCTTAGTTTTGTCGGTAGTCGCTTCCTGTAGCGAAGCAAGATAAAGGAACAAAAGCATAAATAATACACAGGACGAGTGAACATTAGCTGTTTGACATATGCTATCTAAGAAGAAGATTTCGATAATAGATTCACATGAAGATCGATTTCCTCATAGCTGTAGAGATGGGTGATTTTGATACTTGATTCACAATAAGTAGTTTGGCCGAATTGTGCACAAGTAACAATTTGTATTTTAGTCTTGGGGAACAATTTCACCGGAGAGAAATAGGAGGGCAACAAAAAAAAAAAAAACACAAACAAAATTGTGTTATTTTCAATTATAATGTTATTGTTTTTATATATCACACCATTTCATTAGATACATTGCTGAAACTTGTGGCTTCCTTGCTCTTGCAACTTTTGCAATTATGTTTTTTAATGCAAAAATTGAGGGTTTTACTTATGTCATTTAATGTGACCTGCAAAGTAGGAGAACTTTTGCCATTACCTAATCTTGGATTTCCTGTTGGTGATTGAGGTCAACACTATATCATGTTATCGGGAAGTTAGTTCTGCCAAAATTTCTTTATTCTTCATGCCACAGATATTTATAAACTAAAACTTTATTTGCTTTCTAGTTACTTTCTCGGGAGACTGAAGCACTTAAAGATAGGATAAATGTCAAACTAGTTCTGAAGATATCAACTAAACTTTACACTCGCTTTAACATTTATGCAAAGAAGAAAACAGAAGATGGCACTGGCTACTAATAAAACTGAAAAATGGTGGGGTTTTTCTTTCTATTGGCGCAACTCGATTTGCATCCGCTTTTGAAATTAAGGATGATTCTGATTTTAACCAAAAGGAATTGTTACGTGTACTTATGTTTTACAAAGACCCATACAAATTTGGGGCTTTACTAAAAAGTGGATTTTCATTATCATGTCCGTTGACTTAGTTATTGTCTCAATATAACCATCGAGACACTAATATGCCAACAGTCAGAGCACACAATCAGTGGCTTGGAGCCTGTTCTTGTTGCTGCTATTCCTACAATGAAGTACAAGTGTGAAGCTTTTTCTTCCGGAGAAGATGCCCAGTAAGTCTCTTAGCAAATGTTGGTTCCCTTTATTTAGATATCTCAATCTGCCTTAACATACTACTTTAGCACCTAACAAATCTCTTCATGCTTAGGCCTGTGTTTTGCTGTCTTTGTTATGAAACAAGTTGGTCAACCCTTCTTACATTTCTCGTAACATAAAGAATCGCAGGATTAGTTGAGAATATTTTACTTTATGGAATCTTGTCTATTCTCCTCTCAAGGAGGAAGAGTAAAAAGTTGTGCCAACACCTTGATACCATTTTGCTTTTCCATCAGGTGCTCGATTTGCTTAGGTGAATACAAGGAGAAAGAGGTTCTGCGTGTCATGCCATCTTGTCATCATAACTTCCATCTAGTTTGTATAGATGTCTGGCTGCAGAAACAAACTACTTGTCCAATTTGTCGATTGCCACTAAATGAGTCTCTTGAGGCAAACCATGCTGCATCCTCCTTACATGAAGACCAAACCGAGGGCAACCACGAGGTTTCTGGTGATCAGTACAACCGATGGTCACTTCCCAGCGGACAACGTTCAGAACGCATTGAGAATTACGATGAGATCCATCAATCTGAATCCATGGCAATTGAAGTTCCATAGAGGACTGAGCACCTAGGACATGGTCGTGATGGGAATCAAGGCTCACATATGTGAATCCCAGTGTTTGTTCAACGAAATTTTTTTCATTTCAGCAGATTTTTTCATCTACAGAGACAGCAGATGCCATCTTTATGGTTAATGTGACCTGTGGCCGAATCCATTTGTGAGATAAAATATGTTGAGGTTCTGCTGAAATCCTAAGCAGAATAAATTTATTGGTCATCAGGTACACTCGTTCTTTTCATGGGAAGGTGGAAATTACAAAATCCTGATGAGCAACTGTGCAGTCCGCAAAGGTTTCGAGTTTATGTTATGTACATTACTTTGAAATTGTTTACAGTCATTCCTTTGTTTTATATCTTTGTTTTTTCAGTGGTCTAATGCTTATCTGAAGAACCAATTTAGGTGGTCCAAATTCTTGGCGCGTTCAGTTCAGCTGCATCCGTTAGACGACGATCGGAGGCATCGCGGAAGAATTTCATTTCTTCAAGTGTTCAGTTGTTGATGAACCATGTCGTTCAGGAAGAGTGATCGATGCATTATCGCATGAGATAACAATTACTTATGCCTGTTGGTGAGTAACGAGTCTCATATCAGACATTCTGAATGTTTCCACAGGTACTTACCGATGTCCTTTTGTTGGAATGCCAATGATGTATCCCACCCAATTAATTCATGTTCCTATGCGTTGAAGCATGTGGTTCTTTTATTATAATGGAATCTATCGAAGTTGGCCTTCCAGGTGAACACAGGTGACATGATGTACAGTACTTCACCAACAAGCTTTTGTTATCATCATTGTTTAACCAGTACTACAGGAAGAAAGCTTGCAGAAATGCATAGATCTGGAAAATTTAGTAAGGGCTTATGATGACAAAGTTGTTATATCATATTTTCCAATACAAATTGTTTTGTATTTGTACATCACCACATGAATTTTCATATTATTGTGCATTTTTATTTTAACATCCAGGTTTGGTCTACCTCATATTATTGAGTTTTTTTTAAGAAAAATAAAATTATAATCCATTAAATCTTGTAGGTTAAGAACACTGTTTTGGAGAAATGTATAGAAAAGCCTATTATTCTAGATTGTGCTCAAAATTGAGTTATTGGTTAACTCATGTGCAACCCAATTGAGATATCCACAAATATAACTAAACATGACAACACTGATAGTAAACCCCACTAATTATAATTCACCGCAATTTGATGATTATAATTATAATGATAGTAAAACATGTCCCATTCCTTTAACCATGCACTCATATATCAATTATAAAAAACAACTCGTAGGAAACAAAATTTTCATCTTAGAAGCAACAAAATTCTATTGAAAAATTATGAAAAACAACTCGTTGTTTTTATTTAAAAAAATAAAATTAAAAGAATAACAAAGTTGCCACATCACCCTTCGACTATCTTCGTTGGTGCAATCTCTCTCTCTTTCATCGGAATAAATTAGAAATGTAATGACAAAGTATACTTTGAATTAGTTGAATATAATATATATTTATACGTGTTATAAGAGATGATTTGTCTCAATTGTTCTATGAGATTTTCTCATGCAGTTAGGAAAATCTTATTCGCTACATAGTCCCGCAAGATTGAACTTCTGTCAAGGATGTCGATCTTTGATCGATACAATGAAAATAGTTTACGAACGAGAGGCTTTGTGAATGAGTATACTAGTTGATCAGTCATATGTATAAGGGAAACACATAGTTGATGTCCGACAACTTGATTTCGCACGAAGTGGAAGTCGATGACAATATATTTCATGTGTAAATAGAACACTAGATTGACGTATAAGTAAATAGCTCTAACATCATTACAATATATTGTAGGAGTACAAATGGAACTGACGTTGAGTTCCTTAAGCAAATTTGTGGCCCAATTGATTTCAACTTCAGTTGTAAACCATATTGGTAAATCACTCACGTATGTTCGGACTTTTATTTCAATCTAATGAAAACGAAAAAAAGAGAGAAGTATTATTATTGGTTATCTATAAAAATATCAAAATTATCATCGATCACTTTATTTTGATAGGTCATTTTCTCAATAATAAAGAAATCATAGTTTAAGAGATGAGTAGAAGGAATTAACTTTGATACAATAGTAAATTGAAATATAATAATAAAATATTTTTTAAATTAGTTAAATATAATATTTATTTATACATGTAAAAATTTTCCTATCAGCGAAATTTCCTCGTTTTGAAAATCTTATTCGCTGTCAAAGACATCAAGCGATCGGGGGAAAGGGATCGATCGGAAGCGCTCATCTCCGTTCGTGTGGGGGGGACGAAGAGAGACTCCTTTTTAGTGTTCCTGCATGACGTGACGATGTGAGGTTCCCGGCTACCTCTCCATGCGCAAAGCAAAGCGTGGGAGCGCAGTTGACGGTGAGCCAGGCTAGTGCGAGCCGAGCAGCCGTCGCTGTAACCACTGTTCGGCCGCCTGCGTCTCACCTGGAAACCGGATGGTAACTCGCCAGCAGCCACCTCAAGACCAGCGGCACATCCGATGTGGAGATCCGCGAGTCTCATCTCACCAACACGCATCATCCCCTACGGTTGGTACCGATGGGCAGTTCTGGAACTAACAAAAATTCCATTCCCATTCTCGTTATTATTATTATTATTATTATTATTATTATTATAATAATGGATTAAGTGATCTGAAATATTCTCTCTCTCTCTCTCTCTGGTATTATTGACCGCGCCGTGTCTCAATTGTCCTACCGCTGTGTCTGAGGAACGCGCTGGAGACAGCTCAAATGGGAAGCACGTTAAGATCAGACCTCACATCGAGGTGATCAATCACT